CACACGCACACGCAGCACACGCCGCACACGCAGCACACGCAGCACACGCAGCACACGCAGCACACGCAGCACACGCAGCACACGCAGCACACGCAGCACACGCAGCACACGCAGCACACGCAGCACACGCAGCACGCGCAGCACGCGCAGCACGCGCAGCACGCGCAGCACGCGCAGCACGCGCACGCAGCACGCGCAGCACGCCGCACGCGCAGCACGCGCAGCACGCGCAGCACGCGCACGCGCACGCGCACGCAGCACACGCAGCACGCGCAGCACGCGCAGCACGCGCAGCACGCGCAGCACGCGCAGCACGCGCACGCGCACGCGCACGCGCGCGCTCGCACGCGCACGCGCACGCGCACGCGCGCACGCGCGCACGCGCGCACGCGCGCACGCACGCATGCATGCACGCACGCACACACACACACACTTACACACTTACACACTTACACACTTACACACGCACACGCACACACACACAACACACAACACACACAACACACACACACAACACACAACACACACACACAACACACAACACACACACACACACGCACACGCACGCACACGAGGTACGCACAAGACAAGAGGAGACAAAACGGAAGCGGGAGACGGGAGGCGGGAGGACGAGGAGGAGGACTGGAGACCGCAGTGCTCTATTCACAACGAATACCCAACCAAGGAGGGTTGGGAAAATCAGCGTTAACACACATCGGAGATTGCTTATTCTGGCCCTTTCGTGCTGTTCCTTGCGCCTCTCGGAGTTCCCGTGCATCTCCGCTGGTTCTTGCGGCCATCTTAAAATCCGGGCATGCTCTCTTGAACCCATCTTGGGCCGTCAGGCCGCCTTCTTGGCACAGTATTTCGCCCATCTGGGGCGCCCCCTCATAGCCTCCAGGGGCTCTTCCAGGAGCTGCAATCAAACCCGGACCGCAATTGTCCCATTCCAGCTAATTTTTGGGCCCCTCCAGAGGTCCCCCTGGGACGAACCCGACGGTTTTCTTGAGCTTCCCCAGCCTCTCTGCAGCCGATGTGGCCTCAGGGCCATGTGAAAAACACTCAGCGCGTTTTTGGGGACGAACCCGACGTTTTTTTTCAGCTCATCCACCCCCTTTGCGGCCGTCCTGGCTTCAGGGTCATACGACACACAGCTCGCTGCTTTCACTTCCTTCAGCCTCTCTGCGGCCGCCCTGGGCTCAGGGTCATGCGACAGAGAGCTCGCTGAAGAGCCCAATGTCCTCTCCATAGAGCCCCACGAGGCCTCTAAGCGGACGCACCAGCACCATCATCATAACATCTCCTATCCACGCGCGCGGAGCGGCCGCCGCTCCAACAGAGTCTCCAGGATCCAAGAATGGTGGGGCGGCGGTGTTTGCCCCCTCAAGGGCGTTCAATTGAAAGAGCCAACAACCTGCCCAGATTACTAACATGACCTGCGGGCTCCATAGGGAGGGGGCTCCCGCCTGAGACTCCATCGGAATTCACTCACAGACGAGGCCCCCGCTGGAGACGTCCTCACGATTTGCCCCCTTGCTGGTACACGAGTGGTTATAGCTATATATATATATATATATATACGCATCTTTTGTATATGTATACATACATACATACATACATACATACATACATACATACACCCATACATGCATGCAAGCATGCATACGTACATGCATACGTACATGCATACATACATACATATCCAGACATATAGACATATGTATATATGCATGTATACACAGGTATACGCGTACATATATATATACATATATGTATACATCATTCGTACCCAGAGGAGTCCAGACGGGTCCCACCAGACAGACCTAGAAGGGCGCTCGAGAGTGCTCTACAAGGACCTGGGCAGCACGCCGTATCTTGTAGCGATGCCTCCCGATGGCCTCCTCACTGTCGAGGTGGCCAGGGTCGGGGGCGGTGCGCACAACATTATATATATATATACGGCAAGCCCGCACAATCCTCTCGACGATCTCAGGCGTAGGGTGACCATCGAGCCCAAGACGCGTAGAGGGACAGTCAGGAGGCGAATCGGGTATACAAGCCCCCACAAAACTGGGCAATGAAGATAGTGCAGCATGTCGTCACGGCGCTGAGAAGACTAGAATCTACACAAGCCAATCTCTGACGAGTGCAAACGCGCGCTAGTCAGCCAACCTCCTACAATCGTCTTTGGAACCGCACTCTGCCATGCTGGGGGGGCCCCATCCCGAATGAGATCTCTGAGGACATCCCAAAACGATTCCGAAAAGGGGAGCTCCCAAGAGGCCATACGTTTAGCGAGGGTGAGGTGGAGGACGTCGGGGTAGAGGGAGGTGCGTAAGGAGGAGGAAAGGGATCTCTGCACTCTCACGCGCCCCTGTCCCGAGGCTTCGGCAAGGGCAGCAAGGGCGGTGCGGGCGGCCGATGCGTGAGCCTTCAATCGAAAGGTGGCCTTGCTGGCGTCAGACAGGTGGACCACAATCGGCTTGGTCCTCCAGAGCGCGGGCGACCACCAGCCAGAGCCCATCTCCGCCAGGCTGCCGAAGGCGAACGTGGTCTCTTGCAGCGCCTTGTGCAAGGTCGACCAGTTAGTCACAGTGCCCATGGCCGTGCGCACTCGCGTGGCCAAGCTGAGGACCTGCATGCTGGCTGGCCGCAGTGCCGACCAGCTCCCGATGCCCAGAAGCCCAGCCAGCGAGAGCGACTGGGGCGGGAGGTGCCAAAGCTTGTGCCACGCCCAAGCCTCGCGCCTGACCAGCGCGCGGGGCAGCGGCATCAGCTGCATCAAGTAGCTGAGGACCCTCAGCACGCGCGAGTTGTAGAGCACAGTCGTGAGGTGCACAGGCGCGCCCTCACGGGCAAGGTCGCGAATGCGGTGGATCCATTTGGCGCCCGCCTCCTGCCACACGTCATCGATCGTGGCGCCTGGACCCAGGATGCAGCCGAGGTACTTGGCGAACGGAACCACGTCCATCTGCTCCCAGCCTGGCAGCTCCTGCGCGAGCCATTCCTTGATGCTGGCCGCCAGCTCCTCGGTGAAGGCGGCGTTCAGGGGCACCACCTTGCACTTGGCCAGCTTCAGGGCCAAACCTGCTAAGGTCTGCGCCGCGGCGAAGGCCCTGCGAAGGCGGAACAGAAGCCTGCGATCCTGCAGGACCGTGCCCACATCGTCGGCGCAGACGCCCACCACGGAGGCCTCCCACTGCGCCAAAATCTCATCCATGTGGGCCACGAAGGGGTTCATGGCTACGGCCCACAAGGACCCCGAGAGCGGGCAGCCCTGAGCGATGCCCGCCGTGACCATCATGAAGCGGCGTAGCTCGCCCTCCATGGGCACGAAGGCCTGCGGCAACCAGTACATGCCCATGATGAGCTGGTAGAGGCCGCCCTGGAAGCCAGCCCGCAGCAGCACCGCGCGCAGGAAAGACACGGCCAGGGAGGGGAAGGCGTTGCCGAAGTCGAAGAGGACCATCATCGGCATGCGCTGGTCCCTGGTGGAGGAGAAGCCAACCCGACGAGCCGCGGTGTCGAGCAGGGTAATGTTGTCCAGGAAGTTGCGCCCAGGCAGGAATCCCCTCTGAGAGAGGGGGGAGTGGCGCTCGATGTCGAACTTGATGAGATGGTTCACGCTGGCGGCCAGCAGCTTTACGTCCGTGTTCTTGAGGGCCAGAGGCCTCGTCGTGGATGGCGTCCGAGTCGGGCCCGAGGCAAGATCGTCGGCCTCGGCACCTTTGGGCAGGAAAACCATCAGGTGGTCATTGAGGTCAGGAGGTGGCGGGAAGCCCTGCGCGACCTCTAGACCCACCTGCGCCAGGTCCTCCAGAGGCCGCGACGACCCACAGCAGCTCCAAGCATCATACGGCAGCCCGTCTGCGCGCTACGCGCGCGCTTAGGTCTAGTCGCAGATGAGGCACGGTGCCCTCTGTACGCCCCGCTGTGGTCACAACGACGATTTCCAGCGTTCTCGGGCCCATGCCATCGACGCAAAGAAACGCGTAGCCAGAACGCTCTCGCTCTGCCGGGGCCGCCCTTCAGGGGTGGGAGGGGGAAAGCAACTTGTGAACTGATAAGATGTGGCGATGCCCCGTTCGCTCTGGCGGGGCCTGTCTGGCGCCTGGCGGGGCCGTCCCAGGAGAGGAAGGAGGAGCACGAAAGCTGAAGGGTGAGGGGAGGAAGAGGAGAGAGGAGGGAATGGAGGCAAGGGGGGGGCGGGAGGGAAGGAGGGACGGAAGCGGGAGGCCCGGGCCATCTGGCCATCTGGGCCATCTTGGAGCGCTCTGGGGCCTCCCGCTCCCGCTCTGTGGCCCAGTTTGGGCCTGTCCTAGGGTTCTTTTGGGCCGTCCGGGCCTCCTCCTGGACTATTTTCGGGCTTCCTGGGGCCGTCTTGGGGCTCTTTTGGGTGCCTCTTCGGCGGTCTCGGGTTGGTCTTGGGGGCGTCTGCGGCCGTCTTCGAACATGGGAAACTCGAGAACGCGAGAAAGCGAAAAACATCAAACAAACCAATGCCAATCAATGATTTTGGCCTCTTTGAGCGTTCTCGGGACGTCTCTCGGAGCTCAAGTGCCATGCCTGCTTCAGTAGGCCAATGGCCGGTCGGAAGCATGATCTACGACCCCCCTAGGGAGGGGGCTCCCGCTCGAGACTTCCCCCAAGGCAAGCATGCACGTGAATGTGTGTGAACATGGTAATGAAGAGTGATGGTGATGATGGTGATTGTGACGATGATGATGTTATAGCGATGATGGTGATGGTGATGGTGATGGTGATGGTGATGGTGATTGTGATGATGATGGGGATGGGGATGGGGATGGGGATGGGGATGGCGATGGCGATGGTGATGGTGATGGTGATGGTGATGGTGATGAGGATGAGGATGAGGATGAGGATGATGATGATGATGATGATGATGATGATGATGATGATGATGATGATGATGATGTTGATGATGATGATGAGCTCAGGGAGTTAGTGTGAGCGAGTGCGAGTGCGTCGGTGGGTGTGCTCCTGCGCGGGATATCCAGAGAAAACAAAAACCCCAGTTCGGGTGTGGGCAACTAAGGTTCGTATTCTGTTTGGGGATGCCTCTACAAGGCTCCTGCAGCCACACTCCGTGCACGAGAAAAATATGATGCACACGCGCACGAACGAACATATAGCTTCACAAGAGGGTGTCATCGAGGCCAATGCCTCTGCATGCCCCCTAATGCCAAGCATGCTCTGGTGTCAACTGGGCAGGCGCACTTGATATAGCGACGAAATGAGGGGGGGCGCGTTTGGATCGGGCCCTGGGAAGATGAAAAGGAAGGAAGGAGTGGATCCACCCTGGGGAGGATGGGTGGGAGGGTGAGGCAAATGATGTACTAACTGTGCTCCTTTCTGTCGCCGTCAGCGCGCAACTTTCCGCGCCCCCCCCCGCGTGAAACAGGCTCGGCCCCGGCCGCAAATGCACGCTGCTTCCCGGACAACTCCAGTATCGAACACCGCGCTGCAGCACAGAGTTTTCGACAGCAGCGATCAGAGGGCCGTGGTTTGGCCTGCTAACGCCAGGATTGGCTGCCCATCGTGCCAGCAAGCACGCGGGCCAAAAGAAGCAGAGGGGTGTAGACACCCACCAGATAAAACCGAATTCTTTATGCACTTGGAGAAGCAAACCGATGCTTCCTCAGCGAACTGTCTGGTCTCTCCGGGCTCTCCATATCCGGCCGACTCTCTCGGCGTAGGTGGTTTAGCGGGTGACCTGTCACCTCTTCCAACCCACCTTCCTCCCCTCCAGCCCACGCCGATGAGGCGGCGCGCGTCAACTAAAGGGGATGGCCCCAACAAGCCACGAGGAGATTGAGTGTTCAAGACAGCCTTAGGTAGCCCCAAGATGGCCCAAGGTAGACCTCAAAGTCGGCACAGGACAAGCCAAGATAAAACCAGACTGCTTCCTACATGCCTCCAAAAAGCTCCAATACCGCCACAAGTCGGCCCGATGAGGCCATGGAGCCTTCCAGGGGTGCCCCCGAGAGGCCGACATCTTTCAAAACCTATCACAGTATTAAATTGCGTGTCTTCTCGCCATGTCGATTCCGTTGGGCTCATGATGCCTCAAGGTAGCCTCAGGGTGGCCTCAAGAGAAGCCCTGAAGATTAGCACGAAAGCTCGAACGGCTGCTGATACCACCCAGAGAGCGTCTCAATCAGGCTCAGAGGGCGACTTGTCGGGCTCCGACGTGTCAAGGCTGATTCGAGTCGCCGTGTTTTGCTGACCCGCACCAGTCGATCGGAAGAATGGGACAGAGGCACGAAGTAGGAAGGCGGTGAAAGTGGATTGGGCTTCCGCCCGCCCCCTGAAGAGGAAGGAAGAGAGGACACCACCCGAGCAGTGAGGTAGGAAGGCGCCTCGAATGGACATCTGAAGATATCTACTTGCAACAGGAAGCAGAGATCTAAGGATATCGACCAGCGAGATACAGGAAGGCGCCTTGGATGGACTGGAACCTGGATATCTAAAGGCATCTACTTTCAACGACCGGCCGTCGCCGCCGCGGGATGGTTCCACGAGGGCCCGGACGGCCCACCGACCGGAGGGCCGCAGGAGAGCTCCGGGCGTGCCTCGAAGGCTGGCCCTGGACGGCCTCTTCGGGCCATCCCTGGGGGGCCGCGTGGAGGCGAGGGGAGGAGGAGGAGGAGGAGGAGGAGGAGGAGGAGGAGGAGGAGGAGGAGGAGGAGGAGGAGGAGGAGGAGGACGAGGACGAGGACGAGGACGAGGAGGAGGCCTCGTGGGCGCCTCTTGGGGCACTCTTGGGGCCTCCTGGGAGCTTCCTGGGGGCCCCTTGGAGGGTTTGGGGGGGACCTCTGGGGGCTTCTCGGGGGCCTCTTTGGCCGTCTTAGGGCGTTCCTGGCTTCCCCAAAACTGCCCCAGAGAGCCCCAGGATGGCTCTAAAGGCAAGCCGCGCAGAGAGGATCCCAGAGGCATCTGAATTGACCCCTGGTGGCCTCCGTGCTCCTCTGTGCGATTCTGCACTCCCGCTGTCCGAACAGAAGCGCCTGCGAATCGGTGATGAATCAGCCGGTGGGGATACGTGGTGAGTCCGTAACTGCCCGCCAGGCCCTGGAAATCCCCAACATGACCCACGATGGCGCACCGTGGTCCAGGAAAGACCACGAGGGCCTTCGTTGCTCGAAGAGACAACGCTGCAGAAGCATAAACTCTCGGAGCTCCGCAAGCATCTCTTAGATCAGGGCTGGACACCCCTGGCAGCGCCTCCAGCGTCGCCCCTGGCGCGCTCCGCTCGCCAGGGAGTTGGGTCCAGCGCCGATCCAAAACATCGGCGCGGAGCTCCGGGAGCTCATGCTTCCGCTGTCGCTTCTTCGCCGAGGCATGGTGGCCCCATCAAGCCCCCGAGAGGTCCAAATGGCCTCCGAAATAATACCCGACGAGGTTATTACAGGTGTTCGCAGAGTGTGCCATATCCGCCCGAGGCTCTCAATGCGGTCCAAGCTGGCCAAGACTAGGGGCCTGAACAGCAATCTGGCCCAACACCGCTCCGGGCCGGCCCTGCTCAGACGCCCCGAGAAAGCTATGGTACTCACCAAGACGGCCTCAGGACACCCCGGCGGACGCTGCGACATCTCCAGGAAATCCACACGGATGCCCGATAATGTCCGAAGGCTGCCGCGAACGGTTTGCCATTTCGAGCCGATGCCCTCTCTACTCCACCGCCTCCTTCTCCTGTACCACCTCAGTCTCATCAAGACAACCCTGTTCCTATGAAGGCTTCTGCTCCTGTTCCTGCTCCCGCGCCGCATCGGGTGCTCGCATCCTCCTCCTCCTCCTCGTCATCCAACTCCTGCTCCCTCCTCCTCCTCCTCCTCCTGCTCCTCCTCCTCCTCCTCCTTCTCCTCCTCCTCCCTTTTTCCTCGTTCCTCCTTCCTCCCTCCTTCCTCCCTCCTCCTCCTCCTCCTCCTCCTCCTCCTCCTCCTCCTCCTCTCCCTCCTCCTCTTCCTCTCTTATTCGTCGTCGTCCTCCTCATCCTCTTCCTCATCCTCCTCCCCAACCTCCTCCTCCTCCTCCACCTCCTTCGCCTCCTCCTCCTCCTCTTCCTCCTCCTCCTCCTCCTCCTCCGCCCTCCTCGTTCCTCGCTCCTCCCTCTTCGCTCCTCGCTCATCCTCCTCCTCGCTTCTCGCTCCAATCTCCTCGCTCCTCGCTCATCCCTACTACCTCCTCCCTCCTCCCCTCCCTTCTCCTCCTCCTCCTCCTCCTCCTCCAACTCCTCCTCCTCCTCCTCCTCCTCCGCCTCCTCCTCCTCCTCATCATTGTTGCCGCCCCTGGGGGCCCGAGTTTTCCAGGACCGCGTTGCGGGTCTCCCGTCTGGGGGTCGGCGGAGTGGAGCAAGCCCCCAATAATAATTGAAGGGGCCCAGGGGCACACACACACACACACACACGTACGCACAGAGAGAGAGAGAGAGGAATAGGCGCAAATCCCAGGATCCCGAAGATTGTTCAATAGTTGTTGTACTCGAGTCTTGCCATCCACTTCCCATAGTTTCCCGCATTTTCATTGGAATCGACGTGTACGTGTGTCTGTGTGGTTTCCCCCTCCTGAATTTTGGAAGGCGGACGCTTGCTCAAGAGGTCTCGCGACCACCCACCAGCAAGGGCGCGCGCCCCCTCGGGTAATGCTGGGCTTGCGGCAGTTGCCGAAGTGTTCGGTGATTCGCGGTATCGACTCGAGATCTTTGGAGATGCGCGCCTCACTGGGAGTGGACTTCCCCCATATTCTCGCTGATATGGGTGGAGGCATCCGAGGTGTCGTCTGCCAGCGCGCCCGTCCTCTTCACCCAGCCACTGAAGCCCTCGGAGAGCTCGGCCGCGATCTCGGTCCAGCCCTGCTCTTGAACCGCACAGGTCAGGCGCTGGAATGTCTTGGCGCAGGGGAGCATGTCCGAGTCAGCCATCTCCTTGTGCAGAATGACAGCCCTCCCCAGCCTCTCCGCCTCAATGTAGCAGTGGATTGCGTCTCGGTGGGCGAGGTAGCCGGGCTGGTCGCACTCCTCGAAGATGTCCAGCGCTTCCCCTACCCTGCCTGCAGCGGCGCATGCTCTAATCATCGCAACGACGGCCTCGCCGCTGGGAGAGAAACCGTAGAGGGACATCTGCTCGCGCACCTTTCTGCGGCAACCCGTTGGATCCTCCCATGCCATCAGATTGGCTCTTGGGAATCGAAAACCATCGACGCTGTATCGGCGCTATATCGACGCCAACCGACGCGAATCGACGCTAAAGATTCGGCGCCATCCCGTCGATTACCAGACGCTGATCGACAACATTGCGCCCCAAAGACGGACCCACGAAGGTACACGGGGCCCCCGTAACTTGTTACCAAAGCACCTGCAGGGCCCGGTCGACCCTGCCGAGGCGGGCGCAGGCGCAGATGGCCCTGTTGAAGGCCGGCTCGTCGGGCGTCAGCCCCTGCTTGACCATGTCCTCAAAAGCGCCGAGCGCGGACTCTGGCATGCCGCTCTCCCGCATGTCGCGGGCGAGCGTCAGTCTGAGCTCCGCCTGCTTCTTCCGTGCGTTGGCACATCCGATGGCATAGGTCAGCCCGGGCATCAGGATGATCCAGAATTCGGCGGTCCCCTCGTCCTGGGTGACCTTGCTCAGGACAAACACGACGACTAGCAGCGCCATCAGAGCGTTCATCTGCAAGTCATTGCTGCTGGCGCACGGCATCGAATTCGCCGCATGGCAAGATTCTGGCTGCATCCCTGTCGGCTACACGCAAGACTGACCCTAGGCAATAATGGCCCCTTGGTGCGCGGCTTAACAGAGGACGCGGGGTGGCCAAACCTGGGCGCGCAAGCCGCTGCTGGCGCTTCGTGCTCAGCGATCGGGGGACCTACTTGGGCCCACACCAAAAAGACACTCGGCGAAAGGTCACTCCTGCGCCACGTCGGCCCTGTCGCGCCCAGTCTGTGCGGACGGGAGTGAGCCCTATGCTGAGGTGTCCAAACGAGAGGACCTTCCCCGATAGCGACTGAGCCTAGAAAAGGCTACGCAGGTCGGCGGCTGCTGAGGTGTCCAAACGAGAGGACCTTCCCCGATAGCGACTGAGCCTAGAAAAGGCTACGCAGGTCGGCGGCGCGCCTGAGGGGGGGGGGGGAAGAGAGAGGGGTCGGGCCTTCCAAGAAGGCTCGGACGTCCGTCTCCTCCTCCTCCTCCTCCTCCTCCTCCCTCCTCCTCCTCCTCCCTCCTCCTCCTCCTCCTCCTCCTCCTCCTCCTCCTCCTCCCTCCTCCTCCCTCCTCGTCCCTCTTCCTCCTCCTCCTCCCTCCTCCTCCTCCTCCTCTTCCTCCCTCCCTCCTTCCTCATCCTCCCTCCTCCCTCCTCCCTCCTAATCCTCCTCCTCCTCCTCCTCCTCCTCCTCCTTCCAAGAAGGCTCGGGAGTCCCCCAGCCTCCTGAGTAGTTTCCCGAGCCTTCCGCGAGACACTTTTTTACGCAGCAGCTCGGCAGAGGCGATCCGCTCGCGCGCTCTACTAGCCCGGGGCGCGTGGCGTACTACTTAACCGGCGGCAGGAGAGGGAAGAAGGAAGATGAGGAAGAGGGCGGCCGCGAAAAACAGGTTGGGGAAGGAGGGCACTCACCGCGAGAAGACTTTCAGCATGAGTGGCTGGAGCGGCTAGCCTGTGATTTCCCGATGACACAACAAACTTCTCAGAAGGCTGGAGGGCTTCTGAGAAGCCTCGCCGCCTTCTAAGAGAACCGTCTCCTTCTCACTCCCCCCCTCGCTTACCGCCGACGATGGAGATTGAGCCCACTATCCCGGAAGATCGCGAGGAAAATACAGACGAACCTAACAGCAAGTCTATACGGCTGCCTCCTGTCGTGCCGACGTGGACGCGGGTTCAAGACACTGCGTTCCTACTCGGGCGGGTGGTCATGGGGGGTGACTTACGTGGTGGCTGACCAAGAAGGCCCACAAGGTCCCCTTTCGGGCCCCTTTCGGGCCCCCTACGAGAACAAAAGGCTCTAAAGGGGCCCTGAGGGGCCCCTTTAGAGCCTTTTCTTTTCGTCAACCCCCATTTAGGTCACCCCCCGTTACCACCCGCCCGAACTGCTTCAAGAATGAATGATCTCTGATATCCGACACCGATTCAGACCACCAATGGCCCTCCATCCACCAAGAAACCCCTCGGATGTTCCCCCCCCCGGAAAAACAGCCGAGAAACCACCGAACAAAAACCATGAGTTGGGGTTTCTGTTTCAGCCGGGGGGGGGTCCACGAACTGCCGCGCCCAACTGCGAGATCGGATCTCCCTGTCTGCCCGCAGGCGGCTTCGTCTTCACCGCGCAGCCCCCTGCACTCGTGAACATGTTCCTCGGTCGCAAGATGACATTCGGGTCGGGCGAAAGGGAGGGATAGCAAAGGGGGGGGGTGAAAATCAGCTCACGAAGCTGATTTTCCCGGCGCCTCCCAGCGCCAGAGGCGGCTATGTATCGAGGAATGGGCCCCTCGGTGAGGCCGAAACCAGCTGCATGCAGCAAATTTCGTAACCCCCCCTTTCCCAATCCCCCCCTTTCGCCCGGCTCGAGACATGGGCGGGCTGCAAGCCGAGCTTGACGAACGCATCCCCTCGGTGCACTCTCCTGGCCTGCCGGACGGCTCCCTCCACGGCAGGCGGAAGCACCGGCGCGCCTGGGCGGAGCCGGCCCTCCGAATCCTACGTGAACGTGACTGCGCAGCTATCGAAGGACTGCCAGAAAGAGCCGAGGGGTCATTTCTGATAACGAGAAATGACCCCCCCCCCGTCTCCGGAGCATCGGGAGGATCCGAGAGGACGGGCCTCGAGGCGGCAGCCTCCATGCACGCAGGAGCGAAACAGCAAGGGCGACCCTGATAAGGACTGAGGAGGCAGAGCCCATTGGGCGCACAGGGAGAAATAATACTTCTCCCTGTGCGCCCAATGGGCTCTGCCTCCTCAGACAGGGCAGACCATGCCGTGGCTCTTCGCCGCCTGCCGCGTCTCCATCGTGCCACATCTGAGCAGGTCAAGCTTGGAGGTAGTGGGCCGCCTGGCGAGCAGTTGGAAGGGCGACATTATGCAGTGCATGTCCAGGCAGTCTTGGACGAGGCCCCCCCCCCGCTCGACCCCCGGCGGGGGCCGGCCCCCCGCAGCGATGGCCCCGACGCTCCCTTCAGCAGAAAGCACACACGAGGAAGCAAGAATAGCGAGACACACAAGTCCACGGAATGGCGACGAGGATCTGCAGCGTGGCCAGGAGACGCCCACGCGGGCGCGCGACTCCACTCCCGCGGAAGTCGCCTCGAGCATCTCCGATGGAAGCCGCAGATATGAAATATATCTGGGAAGAGCAATGGCGCCCAGGCAACCGCCCCGGGGATCATCACCTTCGAGAGCGAAGCGACGACCCGCGCAAGTTGCCTTCCACCCAAAAAAACACAAACCGCGGGAGTGGCCCCCCAGTCGCGAAGCAGACATACAGAGCACCTGGCAAGTCCCAAGGCGCTCCTAGACTTGAAGGCTGGCGCGCAAAGGAACTCAAAATGCTCGAGAAGCTGCCGTTCCCAGAGGTGGTCCTCGAGCTGCGGCGCGAGACGACCCGCGGGTGCATTCACAGACGCGGCGTCCTAGATCACGACCTGCTCGAGGTCATTTTCCCATGGAGGGCAGTGGGCATACCGACGAGCGAGCGCGATCCACGACCTACCAGCGTTGGAAATATTATCCTGGGGACCTGGTTGACGGCATTGCCCAGGGCGCTGCCGCGCGGGCCCTCTCACCGGCTTGCGGGGAAGAAAGGAGCCCGCGTAGTTTGCGCCATGTCGAGCTGGTCGTGCCACGCGGAACTTGCAGACAATGGTGCAGAACCCGACCTCATCAAATCACATCGCCCTAGTGAACGCCCCGTCGGACAAGCGACGCCCGAGGCCTCGGACGCACCAGGCGAAGTTGTCATCGCGGCAGTGGCGGCCTGGAAGGGTGCTCGGCACTGCCTAGCGGCAGGCCAAACGGCCGACCCCGTCTGGCCGCAACGTGGACCGAAGCACTGAGATCTCGCCATCGCTCGGACGTTCATTCCCTGTGCACTTTTCGGTTTCGTACGTGGTTTTTTCGCCAAATGATCAAGGATGCTCCTCGATGGTCCTTGCCGAAGGAGAAATGCACACGTCCGAGCGATGCCGAGGGATTGCATCGCCGCTCCGGGCGGAGCGGCGGCGCCGACGCCCTGGAAGCCCGGCAATGGACACGCATGGACGGGCGACGGGTCGCCCACTTCGGCCGCGACTCAGTCTCTGGGCGACGTTCCCCGATTCGCAACGACCTGCGACCGAGAGGTTCGATGTTCCGAGAATGTTTCGAAGCGGCAGGCGCGGGCCGCGGAGGACGACGCACCGGCGCGCGTGGAGCACGTCGGCGTAGCTGCGCGCCCTGCGGATCGAGAACGACCACTTCAGCCTCGAGGAGGCAGGGACAAATCGCACGCGGAGATCCTCGCCCTGGCGAGCGCGCCAGGAGGCCAGGGCGCACGACTACGTTGTGCCATCGCCTGCATGAAGCCCCATGTGGTACTGGCCCTCGTCTGCGCTGGGAGCGCGTCCTCCTGGCATCGCCCGCAAGCGCTGGTGGGACATCCCTCGCACCTCGCCACAGTGGTGGTGCTGCGGCCGCTTCTGGGCTGGGCGTATTTTACTCCACCCCAGGCTCTCGGCATCACAGTATGCAAGAAATCATCATGCCATTCGGATTTGGTAAGTATGGCCCCCTCTTCCAGTGGCAGCGCGCTCACCAACCGCGTGACTATTCTCGGCCTGGAGTCTGTGAGGTTCTCAGCGGAACGCAGCTGTCTCCTGGCGGTCAAGCAGGATGACGATCATCGCGCGTTGGGTATGGTACAAGGCATGGTTGATGACTGCGGCATATTCTGGACTCTACGCCCAAAATAGGACAAGTGTGGCACACGAGTGGAATTGATTATCAGATCTGTTGCTCGCATCAGGTGCCTCCAGGCGGTTTGTGAGCTGCGCCAGGACTCTGAGGAGACCGACGGGGTCGGCATCGAGGCTACGTCCAGGCGCTCTTTAATGCTGTTCGCGGAGAGCCTCTCAGATGCACACAATAAGTTGCTCAGCGCATTCTCATATGGTGCGCTCAAATCATAACATCGGCGGCAAAGTAGGGAAGCATACAAGCCGCGCGGACAAATCTGCTCCAGTGTTCGCCATGTATGGGCTGATGCCCGACGTGCGATTGCCTGAGACGTAACATTGCTCTTCGAAGAGGTACTCCTGACAATTGGTGGACGTCCACTGCTGAGATGATGACTATCCAACTACGCCAGAGGGCTGCGCCTAACATACGGCTTGGGATGATGCCTGCAGCTTGCGAGCTGGGAGTGCGTATCCTGAGTTGATGTCCAGTTATGGGCATAACCAAGGTGTTAGGTTGGCTCCAGTCACCTTCTTCTTCAGTTCTCAACACAGAAACGGCGACTGGCATCTGAATGTGCATCGCCTCGCACTCGAGGCCGAGATTTTGACATGTGCGACGCGGAGACGTGATCGAAGGCATACCTCGGAGCATCCGTCAACATCTGCAGCCTTTCTCTGGCCCTTGGCGATCACCAAGGGGCTGATGTCATATCAGTGGGCCATGTGAGAGCAGACAGGGAGGGCGAAGTTGTTGCCGGAAAGGGAGTGGTTCAGGCCGAGCCTCAAAGATTTGATGCACGTGCGTTTCTAGAGAAGCTTCTGGGCTGTGGCCAGCCACATTTTCGAAAAAAACCAACCGTCGCCGACAACGAACCCAAGGCACAACAAGTTCTGACCGGAACTGAAATTACGGACAATCAGATTGGGGATGTGGCTCTTGCACATCCCAAAAACCATTTCGTTATCAAGGGCGTGACGCATCATGATGTAGCACTTCTCTAGATTGAGACTGAAGCTGGTCCACTGGCTGGTTTGCTCCAGGTCTTGCATTACAGCAGTCAGGGTATGAAACAGGTTCTTGGCCACGAACGTAGTATCGTCAGCGAGAGCAAGGATGAAGACGCACGATTCTAGCATCTTTACGCCTGGACCAGAAAAGGGTGGAGGAAAAAAAAGAAAAACAAGACACCAT